GCTGTCACACTGCACTCAGCCCAAAATTTAACATTTAAAACACTTTCCTTGTTATTATCAGCATCTACTTCATTGATATCTGTCTGGTTTGTAGATTATTTTACACACGTTAATTTTGACGTATCTGTAGTAGCACTATAAAATCTTTAGTTCTAATTTTAAAATCCTTTAAAAATTTTCTCAAAATTTTAAATTTAAAATTGTTAGGGTTACTCACCCTATGTCAAAAGTGCTGCAGCGGCTAGTTCTTGTTTCCACACTGTATAGGTGTTATCCTGTGTAGTCTTCCTGTGTGCGTGCCGCTGTTATTCTTTACTACGTGTGTTATACACCTGATGATGGCCGTCTGAGGCTGAAACATGTAGTGTAGCGGAACAAGATCAAGGACACAATATATTGTTTGCACTTGGGACGGAATTTGTATCATTATATCATTTATCGTATGGAGTGCAACAGGATGCTTAAATATAATATTGTAAACATTTTAAACAGCTTAACTATGAGGGTTTACACTTTAATAGTGGCAACACTGCTGTAGAGATGCCATGCAACAGAGCCAAATAATGTCACTTATACCACACATTAGTTACATACCTACCTTACCTCAGAGCAAATGGACTCTCCCTTCCCACATCACACGCATGCACAGTGACAAGGAGAACAGAGCCTCATATTAGCTGGCAGTCTAATGTAGTGTTGTCGCGATGTTTTCGAGACAGGAACATGGGAGTATGATTAAGATTGAATGTGCCAGAGGCCGTACAGCAAAGCAGTGTCATCAAGGTCTTCAAGAGGCTTGCGAGGAATCTCCATTGCCTTACAGAACAGTGGCAAGGTGGGTAAGAGCCTTCAGCGAGGGACACCAAAGTGTGGCAGAAGTGCGTTGACCAGGTCATCCTAGTGTCAGTGAAGAAGTGTATGCTCTTTCTGCGTTACTGGAGAGTGATTGACGCTATACGATTTGTGAGCTGACCTGAGAGACAGGATTAGCGCATATGGCTGTGCTTCACATTCTGAAGGAACGCCTGGGCATGAGAAAAATTGCATCATGATGGGCTCCACATGATTTGACGGAAATGCAGAAATGGCTATGATACGATGCTGCTCGTAACCACTTGGAGCACTATGAGTGCGAAGGAGGGGCTTTCTTATGCCATATCATTACACAGGATGAAACATGGGCCAAATTGTATGAGCCACAGATGAAATGCCAATCGAACGAATGGCGTCATTATAGGTCACCACGAAAATCAAGAGTTCGCCATAACCCGAGCAATGTGAAAGTTATGGTGATTCTCGTGTATGACTGTGATGGTGTTATCCTAATGCATACCATTCCTTGACAGCAGACCGTCAATGTGCAGTATTACTGTTCATTTTTGGAACACAACCTGCGACCAGCTTTGAGAAAGAAGCGGCGACACTTTCTGCAGACCCCACTCATCATTTTGCAGGACAGTGTTCAGCCGCATGCAGCGCAAGCTGTGGCTGATTTGTTCGATCGATGGGGGTGGGAAGTGCTGTACCATACACCATACTCCTCAGACTTAAGCCCTTGTGACTTTGACTTGATTCCTAAGATGAAGGAACCACTTCGTGGCATTTGCTTCAGAACTGTTCCAGAGATTCTTCAGGCAGTAGACTGCTCCATTCGAACTGTCAACACAACAGGCGCTGCTAAATGTATCCTGTGACTTCCACATCACTGGCAACGGGTTGTACACAATGCTGGTGACTATATTGAAGGGCAGTAAAACTTTGAAACATGCATCTATTTGGTATCAGTTGTAAATAAATAGTTGCCACTATTAAAGTTCCAACCCTCGTAGTTTCATGGGTATCCCAAACTCTATCATAATATTATAAAATACTTCCCTCCTACAAGAATCATAGGCTTTCTTGAAGTGTATGAATAGCTGATGTACTGTCTCATTGTACTCCCATTTTTTTTCCAATATCTGACAAATGCAAAAGATCTGATCTGTAGTTGACCTGTTACATTGAAACCAAAACTGATTATCACCAATAATTTAATCTGTGTGTGTGGACTTAACCTTGAGAGAAGAATATTGGGTACAGTTTTGTTTGAAGTTGATAGCAGTGATATCCCCCGATAATTGCTATAGTCAGTTTTATCACCACCCTTGTGGACTGGTACAGTAATAGACTCCTTCCACTGATCAGGCAATTTTTCCTTATGCCATATAGAAGTAATTAGCTTATGGATCTTAGAATGTAATATTTCCCCTCCTGCTGGAATTTGATCACTACCTATTGATTTATACCATTTCAATTTTGCAGTAGCACTTTCAACCTCAAAAGGGCTAGGTTCAGGCACTGACAGCTCTGCTGTATGGATTTCTGTCTGCCTAACGTCAGTGACCTTATGTACATTCAGTAACAGAGAAGTAGTTCCTCCACCTATTCAAAATGTTGTGGGAATCTGCAAGCACACTGTTCTCATCCTTCACTAAGTTACTTCTAGGCTGGTAACCCCTCGTGAAGTCATTTATTCTTCTATGTAGGTCTCTAATGTTTTTAGTCTTACTGTTCATTGCAAGCTCATCAATTTTGTCTTTCAGATATTTCCTCTTTTTTTCTTGAAATGCCTTTTGGTTTCACGTCTTATATTTTTCAGATTATCCCCCATTTAGCTCACTTGGATCCTGTAACCATTGCAGTTTGGCTTGTTTTCTTTTGTTTAATAATTCTGAGCATCATTCATCAAACCATGGCTTATGCTTCTTCAGTTCATAATAACCTAGACTCTCTTTGGCAGACATTTTCATATTCTCTCTAATAGTTTCCCAAGCTTTATTAACATCCACCTCAGTTTCCAAGTTTTCAAAAGCTATGAACCTATTTGAGATTTCAACACAATACTGCTCTTTGCCCTCTACCTTGTTTAATTTCTTGAGACTGAACCTCTCCATATGAACTGTGTGTGTTGTTTGTTTGCTCACTGCCAGTCTTTCACTAACCTTTGCCACCACCAGGTACTGGTCAGTATCACAATCTGTTGCCCCGAATGATTGGACATCAAGTATACTTGAGTGCTGTCTCCTGTCTATCAAAATATGGTCTATTTGATTGTGTATCTTCCCATCAGGAGATGTCCAAGTAAATTTATGGATGTTATGATGCTGGAACATTGTACTTTTGACAGTAAGATTTTTTGATGTGGCAAAGTTTACTCTTCTAACTCCATTATTGTTATAATTTCATGCAAACTCTCATTCCCAGTCGTTGGTTTGAAAATGTCTTCCCTCCCTACTTTGACATTGAAATCTAATAAAATTTTCATAGGGTACTTCGGGAATTTATCAAATACATGTTCTAGTTCTTCATAGAACTTGTCCTTTATGTCATCAATTTTATCTTCTGTTGGGGCATGAACATTCATAATGATGATATCACACCAGCGACCTTTAATATTATATGTGATCTCCTATCACTAACAAACTCTACTCTCTTAACCGCTGATACAATTCTCTTATGTATGAAAAAACCTGTACCTAATTCATGATTTTCATTCCCCTTTCCGTAGAAAAATGTATATTCACCTGAAGGTTTGATGCCACCTCCGTCCCATCTGACCTGTACTCCTGCTAAATCTAATTTATATTTTAAGTTTTCTTCTGCCACTGCCCAGAGCACACCTGCCCTATACATAACACCTGGCATTCCACATACTGAATCTCATGTCCATTTTCTTTAGTCTAGGTCATTTATCCAGAGGATCCGTCCAGGTCCGAGGCTTTATGTTCATTTTCGTAACGTGATTATTTTTTACGGTGAGGAGTTGTAATCCCCACGCCCAATCCCCAAGCTATAGGACCACCCTTTGTCTGCTGTCCGTGACTGCTTATTCAGTATATTCACAGTTTCCCCCCAAACCTGGAGGGTGTCTCCTCCATCCGCAACCTGAGGCTGCACCATGCCATGGTGACAAGGGACCCACCTTACATGGGTTTTTGAATGATAGGTTTTTATAATCCTGTCACTCTGTATATATAATATATACATGTTGCAATTCAAAAGTTCCCGAAATATATTAATAAAAACTATTACATCTTACCTAGATCTTATTCTGCACCATCACCTTCAAAGTAGTCCCCTTGGGAGCGCATACACCGATCCCAGTGTTTCTGCCACTTTTCAAATGCATCCTGGAAGTCTTTCTTTGTTAGGGTGTTTAGTACCGTCTGCGTTTCTGCTTGAATTTCCTCAGCTGTATCAAATCTTCGCCCCTTCAACTTGATTTTCATCTTGGGAAAGAGAAAGAAGTCACATGGAGCTAAGTCTGGCGAGTACGGTGGGTGGGGAACAACTGCCATCTTGTTTTTAGCCAAAAATTCCTGCACAGTGTAAGCCGTATGCAGTCGTGCGTTGTCATGGTGGAGTACCCAGTCGTTTGTGTGCCACTTCTCTGGACCTTTTCTCCTCATGTTCTCCCTCAATCACCTTAGAACATCACGACAGAACACTTTTTTCACTCTCTGACCAGGAGGGATGATGTCCTTATGAACAATCCCGTCAATATCAAAAAAACAGATAAACATGGACTTAATGTTGCTCTTGACTTGTCAAGCTTTTTTTGGCCGAGGTTAAGAAGGGCTCTTCCATTGCTACGATTGCTGCTTGCTTTCAGGGTCGTAGCCATAAACCCAACTTTCATCACCAGTGACAACCTTCAAAAGAAAGTTTGGATCCTCTTGAAGCTGTTGCTGAAGTTCCCTGCAGACTTCCAAGCGATGCTGCTTCTGTTCATTTTGCAGCAGTCATGGCACAAACTTCGCCGCAATCCTCCTTATGTTCAGTTCCTCTGACAGAATTTGTTGACATGTACCATAACTTAGTCCCAAGGTGTTACAGAGGTCTTGGATGGTCAGTCTATGATCTTGCAGAATCAGATCCCTAACTTTTGCGACATTTTCTGGTGTGCCAGTTGACAGCCGTCCTGAACAACTGTCACCATCAGTCAATGTTCAGCCATTTTTGAAACGCTCATACCAGTCATAAGTTTGTGTCTGGCCTAAACTGTTTTCACAAAAGCTTGCTTCAACATTTGGTGTGTTTCTGCAGCGCTTTTCCCAAGTTTGAAACAAAACTTTATACAGACACGCTGCTCTCAGGACAGCCATCGCAAAACCTCAAACTCACAGAAACACAATAGTGGAAATACGGTCACCAACAATAAACCCAACCACTCAACTCGATGCCGCTTGCACACTGATTCAAGAAGGATGTGTGAGGAGACACCTAGCGGTATTTCGATGAACTCATAACCATTCGCGCGCAAAATTCAAATTTTGGAAACTTTAGGATTGCCCCACGTATATATATATTCACCTAAATATGGAGTTTTAGCAGAAATACCTGACTGAGTAATATATTATGTAACTCAAGCATATATGAAAAATTGTATATTCTTATTGTGGACATTAGGCCTGAGTTGTGTATTTGTGGCTTCCCATTAATGTGATTAGTTTCAACTGTGTCTGACTTGGGCACTATGAAACGATTCCATTAAATTAATTCTGTTACTGCAGGTGAGGAACATGTGGCTGTAACTGGACCCAACACAAAGTGGAATGGATGATCCTAATAATAATTTGGTCCATAATCTCATTACAATGGCTGTTGAAAAATGTGCAGTTTGAACCTGAATGATGGTTCGAAAATTCTCAGAAATGTAACACAAATGGGAAATGTACTAAAATATCAACTGTGAAACTGAGGTGCTGCAACTTATAGATAAATATAGCACAGTGTGACCTCAGTATAATGGAAATGTATACGATTTATAAAAATGTTCATATAAAGAATAACTTGTAGTGCCTGAAAATGGTTGAAGTCCATAATCTTTTGAGATTTAAAATGAATGCAGGGATGAGATTATTTATTATTTTTTGTGTGTTTGCAGTGAGTACTTGTGAAAGTACCCAAATTACCTTATCTGTTTGTCCGTCTCTCTGTGTGTGACATTGGTACTGAGGAGTTTTACTAAAAGTGATTTCTTCATTCACCTCGTGCAGAAATCATGTGAACTTGCTAAATATTTATCAGAACAAAAGCTATGGGTAGAAATAAAAGGGAGATCAGCTGGCAAGAACAGGATCTGAACCAGCTTGCAGCATCTCAGTAGGAGAGTATTGCTAGGAATGAAACCACAGATCAGCTGGCAAGAACAGGATCTGAACAGCTGTTCATATGACCTGAACCAGCTTGCGGCATCTCAGTAGGAGGGTATTGCAGGGAATTAAACCACAGATCAGATGGCAAGAGCAGGATCTGAACAGCCATTCACAGGATCTGAGTCAGCTTGCGGCATCTCAGTAGGAGAGTATTGCAGTGAATGAAACCGCAGATCACCTGGCAAGAACAGGATCTGAACATCTGAACCAGCTTGCAGCATCTCAGTAGGAGGGTATTGCAGGGATTTAAACCACAGATCAGATGGTAAGAACAGGATCTGAACAGCTTGCGGCATCTCAGTAGGAGAGGATTGCGGGGAATGATACTGCAGATCAGCCGGCAAGAACAGGATCTGAACACCTGAACCAGCTAGTGGCATCTCAATTGGAGTTGCCAAGAAAGTGATCAGGGACTGGACTAACAGAAATCACAAAAAACACTGGGAATCCACAACTGGACTCAAACAGGCAAAAGGATTTATGTCAGGACCCTCTACCAAAAGAACGAGGGACCGTTAAAATTAAACAAGGAACAATTAAGATGGGTGGTAGGATTACTTACTGGGCACTGGCACCTAAAAGGACACCTTTCCAAACTGGGGCTGACAGAGGATCCAACTTGTGAAAGGTGCCTACAAGAAGATGAATCAGCCACGCACATCTTATGTGATGGTGAGGCCATAGCTTACTTAACATTTTGCCACCTGGGTCAGTTCTTCATGGAACCAAGTGACTTTTATGATGCCCCCATAAATAATGTCCTACATTTCATTCCAAGTGTAGGATTAATAAAGGGTTAATCCAAAAGGGAAGCACAATAGATCATTGAAGGTCACAGTGGGAGGGCCAGTTTTATGGCTCACCCCCCATACTCATACTCATATGGGTAGAAATGAAACATGCTCAATGTCCACTGCACTTTCCCCATATGTTACTGTTTTTTTTAAGGTAACTAAACTAACTTTATGGAGCTGAGTGCATCTTGTGAAGCCGCCAATTGTACAGCTACTCAAGATTTTTTTAAGGTAATGGTATCTGCAGGCAATAAGACATTGGATGTGCCTGAAGAGTTAACATCATGTGAACAATCCTAAGTTGCTTCAAATGCTTATAATTTAAACAGGAAATAAACCATGAATAATTCAGCATCTTTTGACATCTTCATTATAATCTGAACTGCAAAAAGTCAAAGATTTTCTCACACTTATACATATACATTTGCAACTATAGATTGGTGTTTTTCCATTGTGAATTTGAATGGCTCTGCACGCTAAGCACTTCTGTCTCAGATAAAGTGAAAGTGCAGGGTATGGTTTGGTTGGATAGAAATCTTTTGTTAAGATGAAAGTGTCCTCTTTTTATGTGACATGTTTCCATATATGTAATATTAACTTATTGATGGTGGCAGTGGTTTTTCTCATTATAATGTTCTTGTTATAAGCCATTCTCCTTATATTGCGAGTCCACTGTATTAAGTTTGAATTTACTGGTAGTGGTTTGTTGTTTCAGACCTCTTGTCGACTACTGAGGGATGGTACTACATTTTGTTTCTTCGTGAATATGCCAGTGTTGGTGAATAAGGAAAATTGAGTGATGTGAAGTCTACATTATGCATTATTTCCTAATGTTTGTTTCAGTGTTCTTAGCAAATCCAGCATAGAAACATTTCTTTTGACTGTACATGTTTGTGTATTTAGCTTGCAAATTAAGTTCAATTTAGAAATAAAAATGGAAGAACCTTTTTCATTCCCTAAATTAAAGCTTACAGCTCCTGCCTTTTGTTAATGTACCTAATTATCTTGAAAGGCAGCAGTGATAAGCAGGCATTTATATAGATTGAAGGGCTCTGACTTCAGAAGTAGAAGTATGTACTATAATGGCAAAAGTGCTGACAAATGGATCGTGCTTGTTACATCAGTTGTTTCGTTCACTGAAATCTGGCTGCTGCTGTTAAAAGCTGCATAACTTGTTACCTTATATCTAAATAGACAAGGTGCAACAATTTAATTCCTGGAATAACCCTGTGAAAACAAAATTGGCTTACCTCTGCATTATTGGCTGCTGTCCCCTTTGAAATACTCTCCTTGTGAAGCTATGCACTTTGTGAGATGATGGTGCCACTGCTGGATACAGTCTTGAAAATCATTTTCAAGAATAGCTCACAGTAAAGTCATGTTGTGTTGGATGTCAGGAATGTCAGCAAATCTTTGCCCCTTCAGGGCATTTTTTAATTATGGAAAGAGCCAAAAATCTCAGGGGGCCAAGTCAGGTGAATAAGGTGGATAGTCCATTTTTGTAATGGATTTCTTAGCCAGGACCTCACAAATTCTTAACACATCATGTGCAGGGGCATTGTCATGGTAGAGAACCCACTTGTCAGGACAGAGTTCAGGTCTTTTCCTCTGAACAGATCCCCATAACCTTGTCAGCACTTCCAAATAACACTGTTGATTTAGTGTTTGTCCTTGTGCATTGAATTATTGGATTGATAGCAGACCATCCTCTTGTGATCAAAGAAACACACATGCATGATCTTGAACTGTGAGTGAGACATGCATGCTTTTTTCGGCCAAGGTGAATTCTGTGTTTTCCACTGCATGCTCTGGCGTTTTGTTTCCAGGTAATATTGAAAACATATTTCATCAACAGTAATGACCATATCAAACATCCCTGCATTGTGTAAAAGATCAGATGACATGTGAAGCTGATGTTTCTGGTCATCTGTCAAGATTTGAGGCACCATCCTTGCAGAAATTTTTCTCATCCCCAAATCCTACATAATAATCAGTTGCATTGTTTCCCCATTCATATTAAGTTCTTCTGATATTAGTCTCATACCTAATCTTCGATCTGAGCCCACCAAGGTTCGTACTCTGTCCACATTTGCATCCGTCCCTTGTTTTTTTAGCTGCCCACTTCTTGGGTCATCTTGCACATCTCACCCTTCCTTCAACTTCCTTTGTCATTCAGAGACACTTGATTTCTTCATAGTGTATTCACCGTAAACCACTATTCATTGGGCTAGAGTTTCAGTAGCACCTTTACCAATCTTCACACAAAACTGGATGTTTGTCCACTGCTCCAGGTTCTTGTTATTCATTTTTCCACCAACAGTATACCATGGACATATACTACTTCCTCTTCTGCTTGGAAACAGATGACTCATTTGGTCTGTGGCTCATGTAAATGCAAGTTGGAACATGTATAAATGTGCTTGGGTAAGTGAGTTTGCCTGACTCAACACCCCAGTGACATGCTGTGGCCATTCCAAGAATTAAATTGTCACACCTTGTACACAACCAATGTGCAATTTGGAGCCTGCTTCTACAAAGGTAAAGGTAAAATGATCACTGTAACAGGCCATGGAGGCCCATAGGGTTTTGAGATGTTAAGGCCACCACATTTTCTAGACATTTGGCTCACAAATGGTGGTGAGGCTGCCAGCCTTATGTGCTGGCCGCTTTTTACCCCAAGGAAGATTCCTGGTACTCATTTGTGATAGAGGCTGAGTCGACTCCAGTGCCATAGTGTGTCTGGAAGGATGAGGTTAATTGAAAAATCTAGTGACATGAGGATTTGAACCCATGACCTCCCAGCTTGTAGCATGGTACCTCAATCAGATTACTGTGTAAGAAAGTGTTTGAATTTGTCAAATTGAAATTATAGTACACTGGAATTCCCATTGAAGGTTTTTTCTCATTTATTGTCCTGTTTCAATTATTTGAAGTTGATAAACTCTATTATTAAATTACCTTTATTTAAAATTTTCCTTCATTTAGTGTTCGAATCCATTGGTTTGTTTCACTGTGTTAAGCTATTTCATGAACATAATACAATGTAAACTTATTTGGTTTTACATAATATGTATTTCCAGTTGTCCCTTAACTTCAGTGCTTGTGGGGTAATGTCAACAGGAATGACTTGGTTCTGTTTGCATTCTCCCGTTAACACTTGTATAGAAGTCATTGTAACAGTGTGTTGATATTGTCAGTGCAACTGCTATATCATCTGTATTCTGATAGCTTTTAGACTCGTTTTTCTTCTGAATGGGTTAGAGGACTGTGCAGAGCAGACTCATTTTGAGTATATCCTTCCAACTACACTGTGGTCCTCCAAGCAGTACTTCCTCTTCAGGTTTACCAACTAAAATTTTGAATGTCTTTCTCGCCTCCCTCATAAATGCCTCTGATCTCATCCTGAGTGACTGTACAACAAAAGTCAAATGCTGTGTAGTTCAGAGAAAGCCCAATATTTCAGAGAAACATGTCGCCTCCATTTTCTGGCTTGAAGAGTAAGCCAAGCAAGAAACCAGCAGAAGCAGGTGGCTAGCTCTGTTGGTTTCTTGCTTGGCTTAATCCCAGATTCTGAAGATAGAGGTAACATGTTTATCTGAATAGCATACTGAACCAGTCAAATTGGTGACCTCCACTTGACGCAGCGGAACATAAGTGCTACATTGTCTGGAGAGACCCTGAGAGAGTCGGCAGGGAGGTGTTCTCTCCCTCTGCTGTGGAGCCTGATCATAAATGATCTTTGGGAGCTCAACAGTAAAGGTCATTTCACAGTAGGATATGCTGCTGATATAGCAATCCTAATCAATGGGAAACTCCCTTACACTATGTCAGAGGTCTTACAAACAGCCCTGCACACACTTCAACAGTGGTGCAAAAGAACAAAGTTGTGTATCAGTCCAAACAAGATGGTAATTATACCCTTCACTAGGAAGAGGGATATCAAGGGGCTTAAGGAACCAGTCCTCTTCAGTCAAGCAATCCGGCTATTCAGTGAACTCAAGTACCTTGAAATAACATTAGGCAAGGGACTGACATGGAAAAAAACAGCTGGTCAAGGCTATTAACAAGGCCTATAAGGCCTTCTGGACATGCTGAGGCACGTTTGGAAAAACCTGGGACTGAAACCAAAGGTGGTGTATTGGATATACACTGCTGTAGTAAGACCCATAATTACCTATGCTGCCACCATATGGTGGCCTAGAGTTAAACTTAAAACAAGTCAGGCTGAACTAAGCAAATTGCAAAGGATGACCTCTTGGGAATTATGGGAGCAATGAGAATAGCTGCAATGGAAATCCTACTAGGACTTCCCCCACTGCATCTGCAGATGGAAGCAGAGGTCAAGTTAAGAAATTACAGATTACATTGCAATGATCATTGGAGACCTAAATCTGAAGGTTTTGGACATGCATACATGATTCAGGACATGAAAAAGGAACCCATCCTACAGATGGGATCTGATAAAATCATCGAAACATGTTATAATGTTATATTTTAGCGTCCTGTTGCACTGATTTAAGTCCATGATTTATTTAATCCGTCTTGCAGTGCATACACTCATTTATCTCCTTCTCTCCCTCGCACTACATGTTTCGGCATAATAATGCCATCTTCAGGTGCTTACNGTGAATGGAAAGAGGGGTTTCAACCTGATAGAAAGGGGGGGACTAATCTGGTATACAGATGGTTCCAACATAAAGGCACTGGAGGTGGAGTGTATTGTGATGGAACAGGGTGGAAATGTAGTTTCAGCCTTGGTCAGTATAAAACAGTATTCCTGGTAGAAGTGTATGCCATTAAGGCATGCGCAGTTAAGAATTTAGATAGAAACTACAAAAATAGGACTATCTATATTGTATCAGATAGTCAAGTTTCAATCAAAGCACTTGATACATACCAAATCACTTCAAAATTGGTTTGGGGTTGCCACCAATCCCTCACACAACTGGCCAGACATAACAGAGTTCAGCTGATATGGGTGCCAGGCCATGAGGGTATTGCTGGGAATGAAATCGCAGATCAGCTGGCAAGAAAAGGATCTGAACAACCGTTCATAGGACCTGAACCAGCTTGCAGCATCTCAATTGGAGTTGCCAAGAAAGTGATCAGGGACTGGACTAACAGAAATCACAAAAGAACAAGGGACTTGTTAAATTAAACAGAGATCAATTAAGATGGGTGGTAGGATTATTTACTGGACACTGCCACCTAAAAGGGCACCTTTTCAAACTTTGACTTAGAGATGACTCAACTTGTGAAAGGTGCCTACAAGAAGATGAATCAGGCACACACGTCTTATGTGGTTGTGATGCTATAGCTTATCTAAGATATTGCCACCACGGTCAGTTCTTCATGGAACCAAGTGACTTTTGTGACACCCCCATAAATAAAGTCCCACATGTCATTCGAAGTGTAGGATTAATAAAGGGTTAACCCAAAGGGGAAGCACAATAGATCATTGAAGGTCGCAGTGTGAGGGCCGGTTTTTATGGCTCACCCCTCGTACTCATACTCAAACTTAAATGATGAAAAAATCCAAGTTTGTGAAGAACTAATCTGGAAGTACAGAAACGTCTGCAACAGCAGTGATTCTGGACAGGGCAACAGAGTACCATAGCACTGATGCTGGAGAGGCTCGACTTATTGGACAACACCAGAGGAGGCTCCCCTCTAGTGAAACGGGCAGAAGTGAGCAAGATGCTCGAGGAAATGCGGCGACGTCAGATTATTGAAGAGTCAGTCAGCCTCTGGTCATCTCCCATCCAGAAGAAAAACAGGAATCTCTGCTTCTGTGTAGACTACAGGAAAGTGAATGATGATATGAAGAAAAACTGTTTCGCAGCACCTAGGAGTGACAACATATTGGACATGGTTGCTGGAGTCAAATGGTTCTCAAACCTGGATCTGAAGATCGGTTATTGGCACAAATTTCTGACGGTGTAATAGGGACCTCCCTACATTATTTCTTCATAAGAACTACTCAAAGTTACCACCAGCTTCGTAGAGGGATCAGAGTCCCTGACATAAACTAATTTTCTGGTTGACAGCCATGTATCATGATGCATTTGATCTCATCACAGTCTCGTACTACAGCATAAACATTTTCTTTGATGCATGTCTATAACAAAAATGAAGAGGGATTGGATTAGGAGAAAATGGATGTTCAACCAATTACACATTTGGTATCAAAATAGGAGAGAATGATCCATATCTGTCAACATGTTTACATTTAATTTCTTTCCATACTATTACTGTCAAATCACCCCTAACCCTAATCTCTATGTCATCCCATACTTTCAGAAAAGTGCCCTACTGCCACTTTGTCCACCATAAATCCCACATGAAATTACTTTCGATCCAACCTGGGCCACTGCAATAGGAAGCCGGTGACTAACCACCTCACCTATAGCATGGGCTGTTCTGATACGTAAATTGTTATATAATCCTGATGATGAGAAGAAACAATACATGAAGAGCTTATGCCCCACACTTTGAATACCTGATGTCATTTCTGTTAGTTACACATGTGGCTGTCACTTTGCCAGTCGAATGTTTCCTGTGTCTGCCTTAATACACAGTCATATTGTATCTATATCGCTTAGGCCTAATACACATGCAATTCTAAGTTGAACGATTGTTGGCTGATAGTTTTCCACGATCATGGAAGCCCAACGACTGTCTTGGGATGTGTGCGCATACAATTTTGAGTTGTCTACAATTACGTCAATGATCAGTTGCAGCATGGGTGTATACAATAATATTAGTAAGTGCATTGTTGTTAAGATTCAGGAAAAAAGGAAGCGGGAATATTGGGTTCACCCTATTTATAGTGAACATCTGTTAAAA